TAAGCTGGAAAAATAAATATGAAGGTGAATTAAATTATAAAACTTGAGGTTAAGTTCTTTTTTAATTTATTTCGTGCATTTTAAACATTTATTTAGTGATTCATTTCTATGTTTCTGCTTTTAATTCTAATTATGTCAGTTTTGGTCCTCCGTACAGCAGAACTTGGAAGAGGTATTGGAGCAGGGAAACATGTAAAACATGTAGGGCTGCGGCCCTCCAGGACCAGGATTGCCCACCCCTGGTTTAGAAATAACGTTTAACCCCTCCCACATTGACGGGCAGCAACAGTTGCTTTAGACTTTTCCTGCTTGGCGTTGTGTTAATACACACCTGTACGCTCCAGAGCAGCAAGCTGACAAAACGTCTTTCATAGGTAATCACAGTGATGATGACTAGTTAATCAATACATCTGCTGATTTTTTTTAAATAACTCTTGAAGCAGCTAGAGTGGACACTTTTTCACTCAATTTTTACTTTTTTCTGTCACTTCAGTAGAAAACGAAACCAAATATTAGTTTATTTAGTTTATTTATTTCTTCATCATCAGTGACTTTTTTTTAAGTGAAGAGAAAATAGAGACAGAGAGAAAAACAGAGAGAAAAGTAATTAGAAAGATAGAAAGATTGAAATAGCGATTAGAAGTATATTAAATGTACACCAACAAAACACAGGACCACACACCCAACATCTGTCCGCTCACCTGAAAAATAAATGGATAAAAACATGGAGGGCATATATAAAAATATACACATACTCATACATATATAAAGATATACATACATACATGCCTACATTCATAAATATTGTCAGTATATACACACAGACATATATACACACTCAGTGACCAGTCAGAACATTTTTTACATTTTAGCTTCATTTTTAAGTATCTGCTGTGAACTGTTGTACACTTGGTTAGCTTTTAGCTTTAAATCACTTTACAACCTGGGAAAGACAATCTTACGTCTTGATGTACTGTACTGCTAATAGTATTTACTCACCCGTCCGAATCACTTAATTCCAGTTTTCCGGTCACTTTCATGGTCAAAGGTGTATAAAATCAAGCACTTATGAACGAATGGATTGCTTTCTGGAGCTTAACGATTTCCAGTGTAGTGTCATGATGGGATGCCACCAGTGCAATCCGATGGACGAGTCTGGATTTGGTGGCTGCCAGGAGAACTGTCTGACTGTACTGTGTCAAGTGTAAAGTCTGGTGGAGGGGGGATGATTGTATGGGATTGTTTTTAAAGGTTTGGACTTGGCTGCTTAGTTCTAGTGAAAAAAATGTTTAATGCTTCAGCATACCAAGTCATTTTGGACCATTTCCTGCTCATAACTTTGTGGGAACTGTTTTGGAATGGCCACTTCCTGTTCCAACAAGACTGCACACCAGTGCACAAAGTAAGGTCCAGAAAGACATGGTGTGGAAGAGAGCAAAGACTTTGAGTCAGGCCTTCTCGTCCAACATCAGTCTGACCTCATCCATGCTGTTCTGGAAGAATGGTCAAAAATTCCAATAAAAAACTCTCCTAAGCCTTGTGGAAAGTCAACCTATAAAAGTTGAATCTGTTATACCTGCACAGACTGGGCGAACATCATATTAAACCCTGTGGATTAAGACTTTGATGTCACTCATGTTCATATGAAGTGTATGTAAAACCCAGTTAACTAAAGGAGGGTTTTTCCTATGAATGAATGAGTGTGTTGCTTTAAGGAAACTCAGTGTATCTATAGCAGAGAACAGACAGTTGCTGCTCTGATGCTGAGGGTTGTTGTTACCCTGATAAACTCCATCTCTGCAGGTCATGGGGGGGTTGTGGCAGATGTCAGCAGCTGATCTTCAGTCAGAGGTGGATCACTGGAGGCATCTGGCTCAGGACAGGAGCAGAGAGCTGAATGGTTTCCGTACTGAGCTGGACTCAATTCTGGATATTCTGAGACATCTTCAGAAACAGGGAGTGGCTCTCTCCAACCCTTGAAGTGCCGACTGCAGCCCACCCTGTCAACAACTGAAACCTCATACTGACTGATCTGTTTACATCTCAACACGAGGGTTTGTTGTAGGTTCTGTCATCCAAAACATTGTAAGTTCAAAATAAGTTTAAAAATGTTTAGTTTTTTAAATATTAAATGTTCTTTTCCACCATCCAACCTCTCTTGAGTTTCTTCACCTGTACTTTCCCGTTCGACGCAACCGTTAGCTGATCAGCTGCTCCTGGAGGTGCTGAGGTCTAAATGGAGACTCAGAGGGAGCAGAGCTTTTCGTGTTCCTGCTCCTAGATTGTAGATCAGCCTTCAATTTTATATTACACAATCCCCTTTACTGTCCATTAAAAGTCTTCTAAAAATACAATTTTATTCTTTAGCTTTTGACACAGACTGAGACTTGTTTTTAAATTAATTTTATTTTATTTTATTTTTTTTTTACTGAGGGTGTCGTGTTGCCTCTCAGCAAGAAGGTTGCTGGATCAGATCCTGTCCGGGGACCTTTCTGGGTAGAGTTTGCATGTTCTCTGCCTCTTCCAGTGTGAACCTTGTTGGTCAACCTTCTGAAGTGTGTGATGCTAATGTTATTTTTCTGAGCAGTCCAGTCACACTAATCAGAAATCAGTGTTTCATTGTATTTCTCATTTTATTTTTAATTTGCATTAAAACATCACAGAATAAATACATAAATATGAAGTTGTACAAAAACAAACAATCTCAGATTTAAATTTATTTTACATCTCAGAGCCTGTAAGAAAATACCAAGTCGCCACACCCGCATTCCTCCACCACAGACCCCACAACACACTCACACACCACTGCCATTATCTGCCTCAACAATGTTACGAATTGCCAACGTACAATATAAATTGAATGTGTGTAGTGAATAACCGTTTCCTACAGTGGGTTCACTTTCACTGATCATCACAAGGCAACGTGAACAGTTTATTTTGAGAGAACTTAGAAACAGATTCAGTCAAAAAAAAAAGGAAAGAAAAAAGGAAACCGATTCAGTGTACCCCATTATTAGACTGTGATATTTAAAACGTTGTAAGTAGTAATATCACTGCATGTGTGCCAGGCTGCAGTAGAACGTATGCTAGGCTATAGGAAAATGAAGCTAGGGAGAACCATCACTCGTAACTTCACTGTTGGAATCAACACAATTCAAGATGACTGCCACAACCAATTTGACCTTTAAAATCAATCAAATAACAATTTAGTCAATTTGAAAGATATTGCACTAAGATTTGACCTGGTAGTGTCTGAGAGTCATTCACAACACATACTGTAATTCCAAGTGCAGTTATTTAATAAAACTTGAGTGATTTTCAGAGGAAAGCTTCATCTTCTGCTGCTCATCCGTAGTAGTTTTACAGGATCCATTTGCACCATGAATTTTTAAATCAGAACTGCCTGATGAAGATGCATTCAGTATCGTGTCCTCAGTGCATAGATATGTTTTTTCATGCCCCACATCATAGATTCAAAAAAATATTTATAGAAAACACATTTTCTCCTTCATTTAGGTTTTTCAGGGAGGTGGGCTGAACTCTTCATCCCTGGAAGGTGTGGAGCTCATCTTCACTAAAGTCCAGCTGCTTCAACAGTCTGTGGAATGAACAGAAACAGACCAGGGTCCAGGTGAAAACCACGAGGCAGTTTTATTACAACACATTCATCACTGGATCTGAAAGTGTTGAGCTGGAAACCTGACTATTCTGCTCAGTTTCAGAACCATGTGCATGTTTGTAATGTCTACACAGAAGACTGAGATCGGAAAAATGCAAATATAAAGATGTGTTACACCATATTTGGACACTAGAAAGGATTTACAGTGCAGTCTAAAAATATTCACTTTTCTGCATTTTAAGTTATAACCTTTTTTCCAGTGGATTAAATTAATTTGTCCCTCAAAATTTGACACACAATACCTAATTATGGCAAGGTGAAAACAAACAAATGTATATCATAATTTCAATTTCATTTATTTATATGGCACTAAGCCTAGAAGGCCCTATGGGTTCCCCTCTACTGTAGTTTCCATCACATCAGTATTGATCCAATTAATAATATTGTATTCCATACCCTATTGTTAGCTCTGTGAAGGCTGAAGGGCCACACACGCAAACATAACATCTGGCCTCATCTGGTCTGATGAGGAGCTCGTTCAGCATGGTCTTATTCACCCGACCTGTCCTACCCGTCCAGCTGTCAGACAGCTCAGAGAGGATGTATTCCACCTGAAACCTGACACAATGCAAACATAATGTGAACACACACACGAAAATAATTTCAAATGCAACATAAAATCTGCAAGTTTTGGAAAATTTTGTTATTTTACATTTATAAGTAACTAAACATTAAAAAGAAAAATGGTACTACACTGAATTTTTCATTCAATCCAATCATCAAACAATACTTATTTTGTCAAAGAATGAAATATCACTTCCTCTTCTCGTTATTTTCCTACAAATCAGAACTGTCCATACTGGTATTTCTCCCTGAATTGTATTTCTTTTTGCAAAAACTGAAGTACCGTTTGTCTTGAGTTGCCAGTTCATCCAACTGATTGTGCCACAGAATGTCCTCCTTCCTTTGGTTAAAAAAGAGCAGCTTTATTTGCCTGAGAACACACAAAGGATTTACTTATCAAAATGTTTGTATTTACAATCATTAATCACAGCAGTAAAATGAAAGTGATTAAATTCATTTTTGTTGTTACAAAAGGAGTTTTAAGTTCTTCACATCATATCTAGTGGTGGGGACAGTTTTGCTAATCAGTTAGCAGCAAATGGTGGAACTAACGTTTTGTTTAGCTTATTAGCATTTTTGCTAACTTTAAAAAACATTAGCAGACAAATTAGTTTCTTTTAAATTAAGTTCCAGTAACTTTAAGTCCACCAACACTAAGTGAAGATCTCTCAGAGAGGAATGAAACTTTCCTGAGGGAAATTCTCTCAATGAAAGAGTAAAGTGTATGCTATGAAGGATTTTGGGTAAACTTCATTTAAAGCAGGGGTTCTTAACCTTTTTGACCTCAGGGCCCAATAGCCTATATGCCACGGACATCCGGCCCAGCATTGAATGCCACTCCCAGCACTTCCGGTTCACGGTCAACACAGTGTTAGCAAAAGATTTTTTCACCCGACAACGACTCTTAATGATCTCCACAGTACAGAATTAACATATTACATGTACCAACATAAACACAGGAGACATACAGGTCCAGCCAAGTGGGAAAAAAAATCAATTGATGATGATTGATTTAAATTGATGGGCTACTTGTATGGTTTGGATCATTTTCCCCATACGTAAATACTCCCAATTAGTCCTGTTGATATTCAATACTTTTTTTTACACTTTATTCAACTACAAATCCAACTTTTTATTAATTGTCAAATTGTGTTTGAATTATACTGAGCTTAAAATTTTAAAACTGAAACAAGAATGTGTTTAAATATATTTTTACCATCACTGCACCGATTTCAGAGGTACCAGTGAACTGTTGTAATTTCATTCAGTTTGTCATTTAATTCCTACCTGATGGTGTCGACTTCCTGAAGGGCGAGGCGGATGAGGCGAGCCATGGGAGTAAAGCCTGTGCCTGCAGCTAACAAGTAGAGGTTTGTGATGTCACGAAGACGTCGGAGACTGAAAGTACCCTCCGGACCACTCACAGATATATGACCACCTTGAAAATAGAAATTTGATTAAAACTATGACTCATGTTGCCTCATGTGCTCTCCTTTCAGATCAGTGTAAAAAAGGATTTCCTGAAACAGATTTCACTGTAACTTGAAAATGTTAAGGTTCAAGAAACAACAAAGAGGATGAGGTAAAAATATTGGACCAATCAAATGGAGCTCTTACGTATTTTGCCAATTGGATGGATCTCTTTGGAGATCTTGTTGGATAATTTATTTGGGGGAAAAAAACTAATAGTGAGGGGTGTTTTTCAGTATTTAAAGCATCAGAAACTCTTATGGGCACAAAGTCATTAAGAAACTATTGCATGCAGTTTGTTGCATTGCTACTACAGCAGCTGTATCTAGCTGCATTTTTTTAATAAAACAGTCATGCTGAAATATAAATGATGTAGTGAGCAGCAGTTATTAATTTTCATCAATATCAAACATCAACACTATTTATCACAAGTCATTTTGTTATGGGAATATTAAGCAGTGTTACTGCACATTGCAGGTTTTCCTAATGTGCAGCCGTAGTGAGAAGCAGTGTGCAACAGTGAGAGTACATTAAACATTCACACTAGTCACTCAGACAAGTTTAACCTTACAACAGAACCCATAGTTACCAATTTGCAGGTTGTTGAGGTACGGGGTGAAGACGCCATCAGGGTAAACTTTGACCATGAGGTAGAGGTCTGACTCCTGAGAAGATTGATGGGAAGCTGCTGCCAAAGTCTGATCCACTGGAGTGTATGGCCTCACTACCTCTGTATCTAGTTATAACAACAACAAAAAGTTTCATGATTCCTTTTCTTTTCATCTACTTTGTTCACTTACATGTTATACATATGACAGTAAATGTAACAGTTTCAAAAATTTGCTGACATTTATAATAAACTACAACTATTACAAGCCGACACTTTGACAAAAAAAAAATTGAGTTGTTGCAAAAAACAAAACAAAACACACCATTACTTTAATCCTGTCAAAGATTCACATTTTACTGTTAAAAATGTTTGATTCCCAATAGGAAAGCAACTTCCGGGGTACAAATGACTGACGTGCACAGCTGAGCAGAGCAACAAGCAGTGTAAACTGGGGGTAAGAGCCCCAGGTGTGTTTCTAAGGGCGGGGCCATAGTTGCATTGGTCCCAGCTGAAATCGGATTGGCCCCCTGAAGTGCTCTTGCCCTGTCACTCATCTGTTGTTTGCCCGAGAGCAATGATGCAGTTCCATGTCCAAACACTAGTGGCGCTAATGAGTCAAATAGGAAATTTTAAGGCGCCATCACACTGTAACATTTTAGACAACTTGTGCAAACTCATTATTTTTTATGTCTAAATGCATTACAGTTATATATTTAATCAATTTTTTAGCATTACATTATGTACACGCCTAAAAGAGGCTTCCAGTTGATTTGTTTTTAATCTCTTAGTCTTTAAAATTTTTATAAGTTGGCATAAGTTGTCTAAAACATTCTAGCGTGGCAGGGCCTTTACAGAAGTCTTCTCTTCTTAAGAAAATTTGAACAATCCTGCAGAAAAAGTATTTCAACTAACAAACAATGGTTGGATTTTCTCATGCTGGGTGTTTGAGTGTATGTTATCTATGTGGAGTAAAAATGCAGGTAACATTGGTAAGGAGAATTTACTGCTTACATGTACAAAATATAATATTCACTAGCTGAGAGCAAAGTTATTTACCTTGAATGAGAGCTTTGAGGTAGACATGTTGTCCAACAGGCACATGAATGACAGTCCCTCTTGGACATTGCAGTCTAAAAAGTTGAGTGTTATGATTCACATCAGCTTTAGATACTAGGGTACAATCCCGATAATAGAGAGCTGTTAAGAAAGATAAGAGCAGGAATAATTAGTGACCAATGGGGACGGTGCTCTGGCTGAGCTAAAAGTAATCAACTCCAAACCATTTTAAAGGAATTGAAATACAAATATACATTTCAATCCAGAAATTATAAGGACATTTTGGTTTCACTGTGCAGCTTGCTACTGTATAATAGAAGAGAAGACTGGTAACATTCAATGTGACATCCATAGTTAGATGAGCCACTAATCTTTAATCTCACCTCTGTCCTTTTTGCATATAAACGTATTGTGGAACTCCAGAGGCTGACCAAGACTTTTCCATTTTTCTTTATTCTGTTTGTGCATGGTGACCTGAATCTTTCCAACAGAGGAAGCAGTGTGCACTGAAGATGAATAAAAAAACAAGTGCAAATGTTTCTCAGAAAAACAGGCAGACACAAACATTTTTCTAAAGGTTCCTCATCACACTGAGGTACAGCAATGTGTTTGAGTATTTGTTAATTCATATTGACAAATAGCTACTAAAAATTAAATTGAAGTACTAGATTAATGAGCAACATCAACAGAAGGCCCATTTTATATCCATCCCCAATTGTTTTCTTACCAGCAACGGTTTCCTTAACTTCATCAGTAAGACCTGAAAATCCAGAAAAGTAATTTTACCACAACTACGTTTTTACAAGGTAAACCTTTTTAAATACGTTCTCTGTAATTGTAGTGTTCAAACTCCATCTAACATTTACTGAAAGCAAATGAAACAGATGATGTAGTTGTGTTACAAAAATAATAATCTAAATAAAGAACCCAAACTCAATGTTTGTCATTTGAGTTATATAAAAATAAACTAAAACAAAACTACAAATCTACTCACATAAATGTACCATGTAGGACATTTTCCCAAGAAGCACTTCTACTCGAAGAACACCTGCCTGGAGGTCAACAGTCATACAGCCTGAGCTAGGAATCTGAGACACAGAAAATAACTCTCACTAATCTGTTAATAACAACCTTTAACATAGGACAGAAAGTCATTCCAGGTTATTTAAAACGATTCAGTCGTATCTGCCAAAGTTTTTCAAGTTAAAGCTAAAAACATTGTGCTTCCTATCCAAGGAGCTTTCTTAATTCAAACCTATAGTGTGTGGGGTTCCAAGTACATGAATTGTAAAAGAAGCTCACTAATTAATCTACTGTATGTAACACAGATTAAACTACATGCCAATGGAGAGTCTTAGGGTCTTTGTTTGTCCGGCTAACAAAAGACATGTTTTGGTCAAATGCCTTAAGGCAGTGTTTCCCAAAGTTGGGGTCCCGAAACAGCAAGGTGGGGTCCTGAAAAGATTTTCTGAATTAATTACATTTTTGTCTTAGTTGTTACAACTGAGTGAGGTTAGTATATTTAAAATGGATAAATGTAGTATATAAAAATGTTGTTGCTATGCCCATGTTTTGTTGACCTGATACAAATGTTTATCATCCAAAAATAGTTGGGGGCTCAGGTCACTGTTACTGTTATTTTGTGGGTCAAAAGCTGAAAAGTTTGGGAACCAGTGCACTTTGGTTCCCAAAGTTGGGCTTGGGACCCAATTATGGGTCATGAAGCACCTTGGATAATCTCCAGAAATCAATTTAAAGGGTAATAAAATAATTGCTGATGTAATATTTTCCTTTTATTGATTACAAAAAACACAAAATAAGTAAAAATAAGTATTCATATTTGTGTATAAGCTGTTTAGATTGTCAAAAAGCCTGTGATTTTAGGGTTATTAACGAAGTTCGTGTACTCAGACCAGTAATATTTGGGGTCACAAGTTTTTGCCCTGAATATTTTGTGGGTCAGAAGATAAAAAGTTTGGGAACCACTGCTTTAAGGTGTGAATTAGAGGGAAACTGACTGGCTATCAGGCTTCTGGTATCAAAGTTCTGGAGAGCTGAAATGGGAATCCTTAATAGTTTCACATCTCTCTGTTCATGGAGCATTAAATATTCAGTTTTTTTCCATATAACAACCTAACAGATTTCCTCGGTTATATTTTAGAAAAATGTACAAGTTTAATAATGATAATAATATAAATAAACTGAACTTAACTGAATTAATGTGTGAGAAACCCACAATTTTTCATTTATTTAGTCAGTATTTAATGCAGCTGGCACAATACATTTTTAAAACATGATGTGCTTCTTTTCAGATTATTATTAAAAATTAGCCCTTCTTGTTATGGAAAGAGCCTGTTGATACAAAAAATAGCCTCAGGTTTTTAAGAAACGTCAGATTATTAATAAACCGTTAGACGATCAATAAGATCAATCAACTTCAGATTAGTTTATTTATTGATAATTTGCATCCCTAGTAGTTGTGGCATGAAATGGACAGATTTCAAGGGTTAATCAAAATGTATTGTAATCCTGAAACAACCAACCCTACCAATACAGCCTTTTTTGTTTCATTAAAATAACTGATGAGCAGCCTAATTGTTGTTTTATCAAGTTTTCTTCCAAACCAACAAACACAAAGAGCTCTGAGTCAGGGTCATTAGGTGTTACATGAGAATTAGCCTGCACAGATGAACATGAAAGACGTGTTTTATGGATTCTGTTGGCGTACACTCTTTTACAGAATAGGTTTGATTGAAAGCTTGTTACCTTTCTTTTGGCATAAACAATGAGATGGACAGTTGTGTCTGTTTGGAACCAGTCGTACCTACATTAAAAACACACAGATGAGTCTTTGTACACTTGCCTTAAACTGTGACGTGTGTGTCAGGTTTGTTTTCATACCGAGGCTGAGAGTCGTTCTTTAGGGCAGCCACAGCAGCAGGGGGTGCGAGGCCCGTTGGAGGTGGAGTGGGGGTGGCAACTGAGATGCCAAACAGGAAAATAAAGATGTCGGTAGATTCAAAAGGTAGAGCGGTTTTAGTTTTTTAAATTTCACAGGAGTTCAAACCAATCTGAATAAAGATTGTTCCCACAGGCAGCTGGCCTTAAACAGCATGAGCATGACTATGAATCAGTCAACATTACAAATATTAACCTAAATCAATCATCGTACTTCAGTAGTTATTCCCTACACACTCCACATGCTACTTCAGTAATGTCACAAGATCTTTGTTTATAACTTGATTATTCTGAGCTAAATTTGATGTGGAAATAGTTATGAGTCAGTGTAAATATAATCTCAGAGCTGATTTTGCACTATTGCATACAATACAAGTGTTAACCAATTATTGTTTGTTTTAGTTATTGCTTTACAGTAGTTAAGTGTGTATTAGGTGTGAACTGCTAGCACTCAGAGTACAAGCTAAAAATCAGTCTCTGCTACTAATATTTACTCAATGCCAGTAAAGACGGCTGTGTTTAGGCATGGGCCGGAATTAAATTCTAATAATATGATAATCTTAGACCAAAAGAAAAAAAATCACGGTTTTGCAGTATCATGATTACATGATTATATCTCTAAAAGGTGATATTTTGAAATTGGTATTTAAGAACAAAAAAAAACTTTAATTAATATTAATATTAACCCTTTTTACTTTTATTACAACACAAGCTGTAAAGATCCACCATAAGGTCATAAGGGATTATTATTTATTTTATTAAATTAAATTATTTTTAGAAACTGTTTTTAGATCACAGGAGAATTGCTGAAATTTCATTCCCCTTTAGCAAGTACTTTCATACTTATGATTTTTAGCATCTAAAGCAATTTAGCTAAACTGATCACGTTTACAAATAAGATAACTGCTTTTCCACTGCTTTAATAGCTAAGACAAATCAAGGTATGCTGCATGACATGTCGTCTTTTTATTGGGTTTTCAGTCCAAAGGGGTTGTTTAATGTAAAGAAGATTATATAAATCACAAGCATGAACCCATATTTATGAAATGTGTGTTCAGCTAAAAGGCTACTCAGTTAAAGATATGGAGGAACGCTGTATTTTTGCCTTTCACTTAAAACTAATCAAATAAACAATCCAGTTAACTCCAAAACAATTTGGGAGAGAAGTTGTGACTGACACAGGATTAGGCTATAGAAATGACAGGTGAATGAATGGAAGTCAATGCAAAGTCCTCATGAGGATAGAAGAACAAATGTGTGGGTGTGTGTTTGTACCTTTAACAGCTGGTGCAGCCTTTGTAGCCATTCTGCCCACAAGGCATTCTTTTAACATAGACTCATAGTTGACCCAGCGATGGACCTGAACATAAAAAATATTTACTCTCAGCCACATTAATCAGCTGACACATCATCAGAATGTACAGAAATGACAAGGGACCACGCTGACATCAGCACAAATCAGTAAAGACAGCACCTCTCACAATGACAGAATTTCTCTTTATGATTCACAGACCTGATTAAAGAGCTCTGTGCCGTCTATCCCTGCTGCCTTCATCAGCTCCTCTTCTCCACCTGGGTGGTAGTCCATGTATGGGGTCACGTTGTAAACCAGACCTGTAAGCCATACAGAAAACCTGTTAATGTGCCTTACATATGGGGTGTAGTCACTTTATGGAAAACAAACAAACAAACAAACAGGCAGTTATATGTAACACAGCACAGTGAGTATCTGTATATACAGGCCCACTGACTGATTACAAGATTGTAGACACCCGTGATGATAATTAGTGGACACCCCTTATGTTCCTTTGGTCACATTATTTTCTGGGATACCATCATTTCTGTCCAGAGCTGTTTGAGTTGTATTTTAAAAAATCTGTTGAAGCATGGCTGAAAAGCAATGCCTGGTTTTTAATTGTTAATTTTTATATAATTTTTATTTACTATTATTTTTGTCAGATTCTAGTTATTTCTGTGACTATTGTGGTTTTTTTCTTCCATTAAACGAGGGGTACCAACAATCTTGTCTGTGTGTATGTTGACATGTAATGTAATTTCATTGTTGACAGTACAATGACAATAAAAATTTTATACTTTTATTATTTTGCACCTTTTTAACCTGTAAATACACACCTGCAAGTCCTTATTCTATAATTACGCTCTGCTGCCCTCTGCAGACAGACTGAAATCAATCAGCCTACCCGCAAACTACGGAAAGCACTGCATTAATAATCATACTTCAATATAATAAATCATCAGTATTAGACAATTACTGAGGTGGATGTGAAGAGACCCATAGCAGATTGTTTTTTAAATAGATATAAAAGTATAGCTGTATAGTGATCAAAGCTACAAAAAGTATGAAAACAACCAAGATGAGCAAGGCTAAATTATTGTCCTCTCAAACCTTCTGCCACTTTTAAGCAAACATTCTGCTGAACTGTACTAAGTGTTGATCATTTTGTCTTATGACATATATTCAATTGGTGATCTCTCAAGAATTGCATTCAGTTTACTTAGTGACTAAAATTACAAGAAAACATACACATTTTCAGTTGCAGTCTCACTGAATTCTAAGTGTTGCAAACAATCAACCAGTAAGCAGCCAGGTTTTATAAAGCCCAGTCTGTTTTTGTGTGAAATGGTTTGCAAGCTGCATTCTTGGACATGAATAAAACATTCTCATAAAAGCAGAAGCACCATTAAAACCACACAGCTGTCGGTAAAAACACATTCTTTGATGGGTCTTCTTGCAAAGTGAGTTCACATGAGTGTCAAAAGTCAGTTTATCATCGATAACTGTTCCCAGATATTTAGCTCCATGCACCATCTCAACAGCTTCCCTGTTAAAGGGATCCACGATTAGTTGTAACATTAAACTTTAATTGATAAACATTTATTTTAACTGTAAAATAAAGACTGTAAAAATACTGTAGGCTGTTTAGTTTTGTAATGTTTTTAAATATATTTTAACACGGACGGAGCCATTTTATTTACACGCAAAGCATTCTGGGTAAATGATGACATTAACTAGGTCATCAGTGCGAGGCTGCTAGCGAGCTATATCCACCCTGAAGGTTAATCTTGGACAATATCTGATGATCGACTCTTTTAAATGAAACCAGAGAGMGTTGACAGAGAGGAGAAGGTAGAAATGACTCAGCCTGGAACTGAAAATATGGATGGAGGACAACAGAGCTGCTTTATGTAAGAAGAACATCAGCTTAGCCTCTTAGCCTTCGCGTTAGCCCCAATGTTATATTGCCTTGTATGTATCAGCTCAGCGCTAGCATAACTAATAAGCTGAACTGAGGTCCTCCATCCATATTTTCAGTTGCAGACTGAGTCATTTTTGTGTTCCACTCTCTGTCATGTGGATGGAGGACCTCAGTGATGAGAGGAGAATGTGTAGCGCTGAGCTAATACATATATATGGTGATAGCGTCTGAGCTAACACTAAAGCTAACAGGCTAAGCTGAGGTTCTTCTTCCATGAAGCAGCTCTGTTGTCCTCCATCCATATTTTCAGTTACAGGCTGAGTCATTTCTACCTTCTCCTCTCTGTCAACGCTCTCTGGTTTCATTTAAAAGAGTCGATCATCAGATATTGTTCAAGATTAACCTTCAGGGTGGATATAGCTCGCTAGCAGCCTCGCACTGATGACCTAACCACGTCATCATTCACCCAGAATACTTTGTGTGTGATTAAAATGGCCCCGTATGTGTAATATATTTTTAAACTTTAAGTTTAAAAATTATAAAAACTGAACACCCTACAGTATTTTTACTGTATTTATTTTACAGTTAAAGTATATGTTTATCGTATAAAGTCTAATGTTACAACTAATCAGGGATCCCTTTAAGAAACACAGGAGTGGCAACTGAAAAGTCTTTTCTAAAATCAGTGACCATCTCCTTTGTGTTTGAAACATAGAAGTTTAGACCCTGACCACCGGCCCACGGTCAGGGTCATCACTGCTGAGATAGAGGACAAAAGGACTCCAGAGAAAACCCCACTGACACGTACCCGCTGGGCTGGAAATGTTCATAGTCCACAAATACAAGACCAGAATCAATACCATAAAATCAGTGCAATTCTTCTGCTAAAACGTGAAGTGTAACACAGTTAAAAGCAATAAAAAAATCAATAAAAAGTAACTTGCAACAGTTTTTGTGCCTTCTGTCTTAAAATCAGATTTAAAAGAGTTCCTGTTGCAAATTTGCAGCTCAGTGAAATATAACTTTTAAGGATTTGACAAATATTAGCCTAGTCTAAAACTACACACAGTATTATTCACACCTGAGTAGGTTAAATAATCAGTTGAAGGGCACCTGCCAAAAATGAAATCGAAGAGCCCCAACAGGTGGGTTGATTTTGCAGATATGAAAGTATGAATCTATAGTGACCAAAACTGCTAACATACAGATTAATGCTGAGCACCAAGCCTAAACTTTGTCTCCTTGTCAATTATTCCACTTTTGTGGAGCAAACGTGATTCTACTAAACATCTTGGTCATCTTTATCCTGTCATAAACCCTCTAAATAACTTACAGCATGAAAGATTCAAATGCATAAAATCAAGTGTTAAGTTACTTGTTTCCAATCCAAACTAAACATTATTATGGAAACTAGAACCTCTCTGAACAATAAGCCTAATGTTGGTGTTAAATTAAGATCTACGATGGCACCAGTGTCCAACAGGGCCTGTGCAAGCTGAGAAAGCCCTGTCCTGGGCAGCCTCTCACCTTGTATACAGGTCCAGCAGTCCTCTCTTGTGTTGTGTTTCTGAAGCTGTTCTTGGGTCACTTCAATCAGGCGCCCTCTGAGTCCCGTCAGATCTTTGGCACTTTTAGCAAACCGGATCCAGTCCATCAGACTGTGTCCAGGCTTCAACGCCACCTTACAGACGGATGAAAAACAAGAGTACTAACATGACAGTTACGAAAATATTATTTAATCAGGACAGTGTGCAATAAAAACCTAAACATAAGAACATTGATGCATTGCACCGGATTTAGCCTAAAGCTAATTTACATCTAGTTATCACATGATTACGTTGCATAATTGATTAACAAACACAGGCTCTGAATTTTGCAGTAGTTTTGCAGATTTGTCTCATTCAAACAACTCATTTTGGAGGGAAGTTCGGTTCGGGGGTTACCTTGTTCCTCCCAGACTGGGCGGATGAAGAGACCCTCTGCTGGGAGCTTGAAGAGGGGAAGGACTGGGTCGGAATGTTTAACATGATGTTGTGAAGGCAGTCCCAGTTTCTCACAAGTCCTACACAACACAACACTTTATCACAACATGAACTGTAGCTCTGCAGTCACTCACTGCTACTTCCGGGTTACTTGTTTTTGTTTTTTTTAAACACTTTTTCTCTTTAACACTGCCTGTTCTGCTGTGCTGAACTTTAACAAATGACTCTGTCTGACGGATTAACTCGTAAATACTACCACATTCATTGTTACAAAACGTATCGAGCTGCCATTAAGAAATATCAGTATGTATTGAAAATAAGTATGTATTTCTTTTCTTTGTTTTACTTACTTGTTGTGTTATTTAAACACGTTAGCAAAAAAAAACTAGTCAATCAAGAAATACTTTGCAAACAAATCCAAATGCAACCAGTTATCCTTAAGGTAAAGTAAAGCCTTAAATTACAGATTACGATTTGAGTTAAGCAACAACAGTCCGTCGCTCTGTCTGACGTCAGTATGACGATTTTAATCTGCGACGGTTCAGCAGTGGCCAATGAGGTGAGGCGCCGTCACGTGATTTTTCATGATCGGAGCGGGCAGCCGTCTTGTGCGGGGCGCAGACTGCGCACCATGCGAGGTACACTTCGCTGCAGCATGCAGGAAAAAACAAAACTTGTTTCTGAGTCTGAATTAGTGAAATGTTCCAAGTGCTGAAATGAAACAATGATGGTCCGTCCTCCTAAAGAGACTGTCCCTGCTGAGAATGCTCTCCAGTGGACATTATGACAGCAATAATTATTACACCTCTAGTCTACAGACAGTACTGTCACTGTTAAATCTGAATGTGGTAACCATGACATGTTAAATTTAAGTCAGCACATCAATGAAACTCAGCTTTATATTGACAGCCATTATTTTGATTTGTCAGTACATATTATCATATCAGGTAAAACATGTTGCCAATTTATATACATCTGCAATGAATGATGTTTCTAAAAAAGCAGAAGCTATAAGTAAAATAGTCCTTTTAAGTGGTCTGTAACAATGCAATGTAGGCTAATTTGTTTAGGTAAAAATGACAATTTGGAATATAATATTATTATATTTAGAGCCAAAGCTGCTAACCATGAGATTTTTTTCTGCTGAAAAAAATATTTTTATAGCACTGATTTAATTTAATTTAGTTTGAATTTTGTGCACGGTTGGGTTAATGTTTAAATTGTTTCTTCTGTTTTGATCCTTTGTTACTGAGACTCCTGCACTTCCCTGTTTATATGACTTTTACAGAGTTCAGAAGTAAAGATATAATAAAATACATTAAATTGCTTGATTTATCCAGTGCTTGACAGTGTGAAGCAGCAGTAAGCTCCACCTCAACTTAGATTGTGCAATCCCTTACAAAGTTACAGTTCAGTGCAGCAGAGATCCACTGGACTTGCAATGGAAGCAACAGTTAATAATTTAAAGAAAACACACAACTTGAACAAAAGCTCTTGCAATAAAAAAGAGTGGCTGTGTGGATGTTCTGAGAGAAACCATTTGCAATGAGTTTTATAGATGGTGAGACACTCAGCTCATCAGAAGCAGGTTTACAAATATATGAACCCTACAGAATGGCTTATGCACCTTTTGACTGGCCGAAATGAACAAGTTATGTTTCGTATCTCATATAAGTATTCTTGTACATGCAACTGTAGCTCAGTTGATGCAGATTTTATTAAAGCAAAGTTGTTATTATGTCCTACCTTTATTAATAAATGAAGCCCGTGCACCGCTCACAATGTCCCATCTGAGTCCAGATGTCACAAGTTAAAAAGAGGCATAGAAAGCAAAAAACAAAAACAACAAATTGGTTTCTCTTAGGACACACACTCACAAATATATTTATATGTTTTTTGGGGGGGTATCAACAATATATATCAGAGCATTTCAGTTCTTTTTACTATTTCTGAACAGATTTTGATCCATTTGTGTAATTGTTTTAACTTCAGCAAAGCAGAATGGACATTTAACAAAAACATTCACTTGAGCCTTGAAGCTCATTCTCAGGCTGTTTTGGCTAACAAACATTCTTGCAAAGATTCTGTATCATTTAAAAAGACAAACAACAATCCTCAGGGAAAGTGCCTCTGCTAACATATCAGTGTATTCCCTTCACTTGTTCCTGATGTAGCTCCCAGTATATATTTTACTTTTAATAAACATGAGCATTGAGAAAAACAGTTAAAAAGGAACAAGGAAAAGCATGTCTTAATTAATTCTTAAACATTAACATGTTTTTCATTCTAATAAAATGATACAATTACTGTCTAAATGAACAGTCATGTTAAAAGGATGTTTGTCTTTATCTCATAAGTTTATTTTTTTTTGCATCCTTCAGAAAGTGATCTAATATAGTCAAAGGTTTTCTCTTGCTAGTTTTTACCAAGCGAATGCAAGATCTACATTGGTTTTACAGCACCTGCCAGAGTCTCCCAGCCAAGTACTAACTGGGCCCAAACCTGCTCAGCCTCTGAGCTCAAATAAGAGTTGGCATGTTCAGGGTGGAGTGGCCACAATGTCTTAGCTCAAAATGAAAACTATTTTGACAAAAACAAGTCATGATGTGCAATCTTTCAGCTTAGCACAGATATGTTTTTTATTTATAAACTATTATCTGTTAGCAAATGTAAACAAAATGAACAAGACAGTAAACAGTCATATTTTTAATATTGTATGAACTAATATGGTATAATATTCGCTGATCCAATAATTATAGCAATTGATGTCATCAGTGCTACAAAAGTGAGTAGAATTTTTAAATTTGACATTTAAGTTTTGCCACAATTCTGGGAACAAGGCATGCCCAAGTTGCTCCACATACTGGTAAATCTTTTCAAAGTAGAGACACATATTCTCATCTTATTTATGAAATAAGTCAGATTGATAATCACATACTGTAAGCCAACATTTCAGTTGCAATAATTAAGCCTAATTCAGAGTACTGAGCTTCGCTAACAATGCAGGATGACATAAAGATGTAAAATAACCTACCGCAAACTAAACCCCTGAAAAAAGAGGAGACACATGAAGAACTGCGTCCTCCACTGGATGCACTCTCGTTCTCATCTTCCTCCTCTTCTTCCTCCGAGTCTGTTTGATTATTTGACATTGTGAAACTAATAGTAGCTCACAGGGCTTTAAAATAACTTGCATCAGCAAAAGAAACCTCTGAGCATCACAGCAGTTGTAGGGTTGTTTTTGAAAAGCTAATCTGCTAAGAGGATTCCCAGAAAGTCGATGTCCTCTTCAAAGTAAAGCTTAAAACTGGTTACTCTAATTTGTAACTACATACAGTATGTTTTTAACATGTTATTTAACCTATTTTTTATTTATTTTTATCATTTCAAATATTAGGCATCTGACACATTTCTTTATTTCCAATTATGCAAATTGAGTTTTATTTATTTGTTTATATAAGACAGGGCAAAAAGTTACATGTTTAAACAATACAAAAGTTGCTTTGGCCAAGTTTTCTAGCTGAAGGCTTTTTAGCAAACTGCAGGCTTTTTAAATGTCAAAATAACAAAAACAATTTCTGAAGCAGTCTGTACCCAACAGGAAACAATATCTCAAACCAACAGTTCATATAGACCAGGGGTCTGCAACCTGCGGCTCTGGAGCCACATGTGGCTCTTTGGACCCTCTGCAGTGGCTCTAATACAAAAGATAAAACATTAACTCATGCTAGCCTGTTGTTAACTTAAATAATCCAAACTCTTTCAATGATCTGTCTCTCAAATCCATCAGAATTACCTTTAAAGAATTTGAAAACTACATAGTAATAATAATTAGAAAAAAATATACAACTGAATAGTTCAGTTGAACTAGTTTTATGAGATTCAGTAAAAACTATATACGGTATTTTTCTTGTTTACATGAATCTGGTCTTTTCATTTGTCCTCGTGTGTAAAAATAATAATAAATAATAAAATTCACAATATATTTTTTAGTTTTATAATGTCACCTCCACTGGCCATAAAGTTTCCTGAAAAGGCCTCGAAAAGGCCCATGGACCACCAGTTGATAATCACAGTTGTAGCTTGTTTTACGGCTCTGGACACATTTTTTAAGTGAGCCAAGGAGCAGAAATGGCTCTTTGGATCATAAAGGTTGCAGCCCCCTGATATAGACACATCCAACACACACACATAAAAAATAATTCAAATAAGGACAGGAGAAAACAAGAACTTATTTAGTGAAGAAAGTGTTTTCCACTTTCAGCTGTAGAAGTTGGTGCGTGTCAGTGTTCTCAAATTTATTTAAATTTGAATTAAAATAAGAAAAATTAGTTCAGTTTTTTTCACTGTTGGTACACTGTTCTGTATATCCGAAGAGCTCTAGACAAAAATAAGTTTGTCCAAATGATGTTTTGAGATGTGTTGGTTATCAGTCTCCAGGCACTTTGCCACAGGATCTCTTCAGCTCCACCCCACACCGGTCTACACCCACCTCCTTTCTGCCCGGTTCGTGGCACCTCCACTGAGGTGGTACTGTTGGGCTGACATCGTTGGGGGTGTGGTGTGCAGATCTACCTGTAAGCATGTAGCAGTGGCTGATTGGCCAGTGGAGCTACATGAACTGCCCTGGAGGATGTCATTTATGGGCAGATTTGAGCATTCAGCACGAGCTAAAAATAAGAGACTTTCCTGGGGAGAGTTGGTGCAGAATTAAAATAAATAAAAATTATATTGGACTGATTTTGGATTTTTAGCAAATGTTTTTTTTTTTTTTTTACTTTGGAAGAGGTTAATTACCTTACCATATGTCAGAACCAGATCAAGAGTGTGATGAAGAGAATGAGTAGATTTGTGGATATTTTGAGTAAAACCAATTGACTCTATCAAATTACTAAAAGCTATGTTTAATTTATCACTTTTAACATCTGCATGAGTATTAAAATCCCTCTTTCTTATAAATGTATCAGTATTCAATAATAAGTCAGGTAAAACTGAGAAAAAGGGACTGGTGGACAATAAATAACAAGTAACAGAGGTTTTTCTGATTTCCATTTTGGATGAGAAAGACTGAGGGACAAAAACTCAAAATAATTATAACTAATAATTGGTTTAGCATTATTTAATAATCCTGAACAGGAATATACTGGAATGAAGAATCACCCATTTTAAAAAATATTTATTTAGTAATAAAATCCAGATGTTTTCTGTGTTAATTTAAAAAACGAGTACAGTTATATTTTAGTAAAAAAAATCCAGTTGTTTGTGTTAAAATCTGAACGGAAGTGGTCAGTTTTAAAGATGCAGACTGGTGCAGTTTGCTCTACACAACATCAGCGGTCAACATCAATGTTTTATTTTAGTCTTGAAGTTAAACTCCTGCTTGGACGAATGCCAGGTTTGCCAAATGAGCCATCTGGAACATTTCAAAGAGATATTCATCTTCATCCTCTAAAATCTCTCTGGATTCTTCATCTTCCTCTCTACTTCTGGATAACCAGTGCTGTAAATGTCATTATCAAAGAGT